GTTAGTTGGTCCAGCCTTGTAAAAAAAAATGGCTTTATTTCCTGCTTAGTTGCGAAGCACATAGTTGATGGCAGACAGTGAAACAGAGCTGTGATCTAAAGGTTCAGATATGTGGTGTGGATAATTGCATCGTGATTGGTTCAACTCAGGAAATATAGAAAAACAATTGTAGTTGTTATTGCCAAACTGATTAAAATAATGGATTTGTTGAGCAAAGGAAACGGTGGAGAGAAATGTTTGCTTCTTGCCATGAAGTGCAGTTCAGGAGTTTCTGACTAAAACCTCTTTTTATTTTATTTATTTATTTATTTTTACCTTGTCTTCAGAGTGTCACCTGGTATAGAGGTATAGTCTATGTGTGTTTGGCATCGTAGTTCAAGAAGCCGGGATACACTGTATGATCCTCAATTTATTGTTGTTTTAAAGGAACAGTTTGACATGTAGAGAAATATGCTTATTTACTCTCTTGCAGAGAGCTAGATGAGAGGATTGATACAACATTCATGTGTGTATATATCTATAGCTTAGCTTAGCTTTGCATGAAGACCAGAAACACTAATTATCACACTAATCACACTAATTATTACCCTCTCTTATGACCAGCTCACTAATTATCACGTTATATCTTTGTTATTTGTACACAGAGGACTTTGTGCAGATTTTGTTACCTTGGACATAGCCAGGCTAGCTAAACAAAGCGACTACTGGCTCCAGCTATATATTTACCTTACAGACATGAGAGTGGTGTCAGTCTTCTCATCTAACTTTCTGAAAGTAAGCAAATAATCATGTTTCTCAAAATGTCGATTTTCCTTTAAGTCCGTGAAAGAAGACCCTGATTAAAAATCCATACAAAATTTAGGCAGAACCCCAATAAAACTAATGCTCAATTATATACGTCGAAATAATTGGCTAATATTCACATTTATTTTAAGCTTGACTAAACAAAGACAACTAACCACAGAGTGAGAGAATATGTTTTATTCTTATGAGCTTTATAAAGTTTATGCAAGCTTTTAGAAAGAGAACTACCAGACTCAGTTAACTGAAATAAATAAAGAGCCACCTTCTCTAAGCTTACATGAATTATAAAAGACAACATTAAACTGCTGTTGTAAGAACTCATCTGTACTTGGCAAAAAAAAAAACTGCAAAAGTGGTTTGTGATCAAACCAGAACAAACGCAACACCACCAAAGTTATAAACACTGAAGAACAAAATCTAAAGGCACCAACTCTCAAGATCCCAAACAAATAAATTGTTAAAGGTTTATGAATAATGTGTATGGAATTAAATATACTGCATTGCAGCTTTAATTGAATCCCTGCCATTTCCATTTGCAGTATTATCACTCTTTCACACTCAGCCAAATAAAACACATATGAGCTCCTGCAGATGCCAAAGGCTAAAACGCTATTATCTTTATTCCACAACCCCCTTTTTTGTGAGGGTACAAATAGTGGTTTGGCAAAAAACAGAGTAAAGATAACCCGACTTATCCTTCATCTATAGATCTCTCTCTCTCTCTTTCTGCCAGTCCTCTATGATAACCCTATTAAAATATTTTCCTCTGGCAAATCCCTGAGAAATAAATCCTCTTTTTCCATAAAAAGAAAAGGAGGGGCAGGAAGGTTTGTCTGTCACATGGAGAAATACAGTTGCCTTGGCAACCGCTGATGGTTTTGCATTGCAGCCTGGCACCACAACGACTGGTTCGGGTAAGTTTGTTGGGGACATTTTGTGCTGAGCTAGGGTGTCAGCAAATCTACTTAAAAGAAGTGCATATCCAAGGGAAACAGACTCTTTATATACAGAGATGAATCACAGAGGATGTTTTAATATCTTAATAGTGATGTAGATCTGAGATAATAAGAAGCAAATACACCTTACAGAGAAAGCTACTTTTACATTTCCTTTTCCAGAAGAAGAATGAATTACACATTTTGTAAAAGTATAAATTGTTGTGTGAGAGTCAAACTGATATTATAAATTATGACAAATGAGACAGCAGAATTAGCCGTACAGCAACAGAAATAGATAAAGTTGTTGTTATATTACAGTTGCATTACTTGTGTCAGCCTCCCCTGTATCAGCCAGTGTCCTCTTCTAAAGAAACTGACAGCACAGGATGTCTGTTTTCAACAGATAAGGGAGATGGATCTAGTACTCTGAGCGGCTGCTTCCCCCGTGTGAATAGATCCGGTACTACAACACGATCGTGCTTTTAACCAGCAGAGGTATGACGTAGTAACTGTCTGTCTGAGTTGACTCATTTAAAATTTACTAAGACTTGTTACAGCTGTGACATACACTCTAAGTGATTAATTTCATATTTATTGTGGTGAGCCCATGCTATAATAAAATATTTTAAAAGAAATGTCACAGCTGTTTGTACCACGCAATCTGTGTATGTGAATAGGGAGGTCACAAAAATCCCCAAAGGTCAAGGGGTTACGAAATTATAAATAAGTATTTAGAAGGGGATCAACTGCCAGCTGAATTTTTTGTTTCCCTTTATATAAAAAAAGACGTTTCCACTATAAATTGGAACTGAAAATGTCTCCTAAATGCAGGAAGTGTTTAATGCTCCAATTTTCTGGGGGAGGACACCAGACACCCCGGAAGCAAAGAGATAGACTAACTTCTCAGAGTTAACTTGAATGTATTAGTTTTTCTATATACACAGGGCTCTGTTTCAATGTGTTTGAGAGAGAGAGCGAGAGAGAGAGAGAGAGACAGAGCACAAGCAGAGGTGCTGAGTGAATCTATATGCAGCTCTACAATGAATTATGATTGTACATTAAATAGTATATAGCATGTGGTGGTCAGCGTTGATATTGTGGCGTGTTGCCACAAATAAATCATTTATTGTGGTGCAGATAATTAGTGTGTGCAGATCCTAGAGACTGTTTTGATGTCATCTTAGTTCTGATAGTGAGTTCACCTGAATCGCCTTAATATCGGCACATGAAAAACCAATCGCTGATCATCCCTTCAATCATCGACAAGCTATCTAATCGCCAGTCGGCACAAGCCTAATCACCACCACAGTTTAATGTCACCAGTTGTTAGCTCAATTATTTGTCACCAGTTTTTCAAAAGATGCATGCGAGACAGGGACCAAGATAGGAAGTGGGGCCACAGAGACTGCTTGTGAATAATGCCGAGAATTGCTACACCTCTGGCCAGACCTATCTCTACACCTAGTCAAATTTAAGATTTTTCTTCTTAAAGACCTTCTTAAGACCACTATGAATGAAATTTAAGACCTATATCACTACATCAAAAAAAGAAACATACAAAGGAAATCCAGTCACAAAATTACTTGCAGAGTAATAAATGTATTCAAATTAGGGTTGAGTGATGTCTACAAAATTGGCATTGGACGATGTCAACAATGACACATCGGGATGGACGATTACATTGATAAGCTATGTAATTAACAAGTTGGCATGCAGCGCACCTGCTGCCTTGAAAGAGCATTATGCGTTGATATCCACAAAAAAAGATGTCTTTTCAACGACTTTTTGATTTTGAAATTTAAGACCTTTTAAGACCCCCCGAAACCCTGCCCTTGGGAGGCTTCCGGAGGTTGGCCAATCAGAAAAAGTAAGGATTTAGGGAGGGGGGCCTTAAAGAGACAGGAGCTAAAACGGAGCGTTCAGAGGGGGAATGAAGGCGCAGAAGCAAAGGACAGTATGAGAAAAATAATGTGTTACAGCATGTAAACATTTTCTAGTAGATACCAAAAACAAAAGTATGAACCTGAAAATGAACATAATATGGAACCTTTAAAGAGACACTTTTTCTTATCATCAAGTTGTACTGCAACCTTTACGCTGAAGTTTGGAAGTTGGGCTAGAAGAAGGTGCAGAACCAAGGCCGGTAGAATCATAAAGGACTACAGCCATCCAAACAATGGCTACTGCAGTCATAGAGCCAGAGTGGGGAGGCTAAAGATGAGCTACTTCCTTACGGCCATCCGAATTCTAAATAAGGACACTGCCAGGGCTCCTGACAGACTACACATCCTTTGTAGACAATTACCACCACCCTTCTCCCGTGTCTCTTTATTATTTACACCATATTTAATATTTGCAAATATTGTCTTATCTTTTGTTGTATATATTTTCTTTGCTGTGTTTACTGTATTTTTGATATTTTGTCAAGCACAGTAGTGGAAGGTGTAACAAAGCATTTCACTATCTGACAAATAAAAGCTTGAAACTTTGTTGGACATTTCCACTGAAGGTCTAATCAGATTCGAGGAGAGCTTGTGTTACAGCTCATAAAAAAAATATTATTCAATTCAATTATTCAATATAACTGGCTGATGACTTATGTAACTCAACATTTCTGATATTTATTAAGAGTCTCAAGGAACTCTTATTCATTATATTTGGGGCGAGTTCTGTTTTTTCCTTCAGTTTTACATTCTGAATCTTGAGTTTACTGATATACTTGCTTTGAAATAGAGAAACACTGATGTTGTTTATCTCTCAAATACAATTTTAAAGCACAAATCTGATCCTTCAAGATACGGTGATGTTAGGAATCTTTTCCTGTATGAAATGTAATTATATGCCTTGAAAAAAATTAATGGTACTTTTACTATTGTGCTATTTTTAAAAATGTTTGTATGTTTCTTGATCTCTGGTTCTCTGTGTGAAAATGAAGGAAATTTCTATTTAAATTCTATAAGTAATATAAAAATTCTATTGTATTTGTAAGAGGAAATAAAAGTAAAGGAGAAAATTAAGGAAGTGGAAAGGGGGGGGTTTGCCACATTGTGCTGTTTATATGTAGTTCAAAGACTGTAATGTATAAATTTAAAAATAAAAGTTACTAAAAAGATTCTTTGTAATACATTGTACCAGTCTCCTCCTAAAATAGTGCCAAAAATATGTGAAACTGAAAGGGATAAACTCTTTTCAAAGGGCAGTTAAGCAAACCTAGAAAATGAATGAATTATTTATTACAATGACAGAAACGGCTCAGAATGGTGATTTCATTCATTTAATACTTCCCTTCCATACCATCAATTCTGTGACTTCAAGCTCCCCGCCCTCCCCACACACACATTTTTTTCCCACAGAAATAAAAACACGTCACAAATGCAAGTAACATTTTTCATCACCGACGCCTTATTCCACGTGCCACTGACAATACAGAAACACGAGTGTGACGACCTGTGTGTACCAACACATAGAAGACATGCAGTGATTCCCTTTGAGACTGCATTTAATAACAGACTGTAATTTCCAGTAGAACAGTTGGTAGCAGTGGTAGCTGAATGATTTCCCCTAAAACCTCTGTGTACCGCTTATACAGCTAACCCCAAACCTCAAATAAAGTATCCAGGCAGCATAGAGGACAAAAAAAACATGCTTGTTTGTGTCATGCGGTGCAGATATTTACTTTTATAAATTAAAGTGAGATGTTTACACTGAGCGCCTTAAACATACATGTAAACAGTAGCTCCAAAGTGACAATCATCTGTTTTCATGATCAAGTCCACGCCACTGTCCTCGATATCCAGAAAGAAAAGGCAGTGAAATTCACCCTTCATCTGACACAATCTATCCAGGGCGAGCGGCCACCGAATCTCAGGTGACAGGTTAAAAGGGTGAATGTGAGGCACTACCACCACCCCCACCCTGACATATCACTGCTCAGCCCCGGCTCATTTTTGCAGACATCACTGCCGTCCGTCCCCTTCCTGCAAAAGGCACCGGGCTTGTGTAATGAGGGCTGACCGCAGCAACCAGCCGTGTCACTCTTTTGCATTGTCACACCAGTTTGCAGAATGAAGTGTCCTCTTCCTCCACATCGCTGCGCAGTGTCAGTTTTTATTTTTAAGAGGGCTGAAACATGGCAGTGCTCACAGTTTGTTGTCCAAACACAGGCAGTGGAGATTCAGTGGATTTCAATGTGGACCTGTGAAGACATGAGGAGGTTGTCAGGCAACACAGTACATGAATGGAGAAGACTGATATCTATTTTGGCAAATCCAAAAACATGAAATCATGAAAATGTTAACAGGTCATGTTTGTTCAAAAAGAGGTAGTCTCGGTCCGGATCAAACTGAAGCATGGTTTGGTTTGTTTCTAGTGTGAAAGCATTTTTTAGATGGTTCGGACTTTCAGACTATTTACCATGGACGTCATTAGGCCTGTTTTAGGGGGGCTGAAGCCACCCTAACATGGTCCTAAGCCCCCCCAAATAATAATAATAAAAATAATTATTAGATTTAGAGTTCTTTTTTTTTTTTTAGAGATGGTATTTCTTTATTTCACATTTACATGAGCAGCTGGGTAGCATTTAAGTCACAACCTACAGAAGAACCACGTCTGGCCTAAGTGAATTCCCTCCATGCAGCGTTGATGTATCTAAAAGCTAACATTTCATGGGAGTCGGGAACCATTGTATGTGGGTGGGACAAGATCAATGATATTGGACCCACTCACTTTTACTGTCTGTAATTCAGCGCATCAGTTTGTTCACCTTTCAGAGCGTCGTCAATCAAATCCATTCAACTTGAGAAATGCACTAATAGATTAAACTCTATTCTACAGCCGTCACTTTCACATTGACGCTTCTTCAAATCCGTTCCACTTGGCTCATTTAGAGTCCATATAAGTTAAACTCCATTCCTTGTTTTCACTACTCGCGCCTGCTACATTGCCACCACACAGCAACGTAAACAAAGCATTTTAGCATACCTGCTGCTCTGGTGTATTATTCAGCTCACATACTAAAGCTGCTTTTTAAGTGAACATTCACCTGATGCTTTTAAAGGCATCATGTAGTCTTTGTTGCAGCATTGAATTACACTAATACTATGTTGTTATAACACAGAGTTATCTGACATTTTTGCTAGACTAACGTTAGCTAGATACAGTTAAGTTAACATTAATCAACTAGAGTTAGCAGCTCTTTGAATCCTGGTCAATGAGAGAAGCTAGCTGTGGTACCAGTGCTAAATCTGATTCAAAAATAGACTGGACAAATCATATCAACAATTTGTATTGACTCAGCAGGGATGATATTCCATGAGAAAGTTGATCTACTGGAGAAACATATCTGAAAGTAACACAGAATGACTGAGAGCTGCACTGACTTAAGTATATATTTGCATTTTTTAAATTAAAATAATACATACATCATATAGTAAAACCTGTTCTGCATGTACATTGATGTAGAAATATGTTAGGCCTATTAGGTAGATGGCTACAGTAAAGAATCTCATAAAGTCATCTTCTCTGCACAAAAGTTATTGTTAAACATGGTAAAACATTAGGAAGTATAACCAACAACACTGACTGACTTGAAGGTTACCAACTGATGTAGGGGTACACAGAACTAGTAAAGTAGGTTATAGGCTATTTCTGTCAGTTGTTGCAGTTAAACTGCCATCCTTTTAATTAACACCTAAAACACTGCTGAGGGTGCAACTGGCCATGGTTTTAGTTCACTTTCGGCGTCATGCACCACTATGCACCTGGAACGCATTGAGGTCGAAGTTTCAACTGGGAAATATCCCAGTTCCGACCGGTCTCATACGCGGCATAAAACGGTCTCCTCAAACGGAGGTGCAGAAGGATTTCTTGCAGTCTTCTCCCCCTTTCCTGCCGGTGTTATACCGAAACACCGCTGACGATATAGGCATAATTTTCGCACATGGAGGACAGTTATTTGACGAATTTGGACTACCCTGTCCCAACCTTTTTATGTACAGTCTATGGTCCCAACGCGTCGGTAATAGACGCACTGAGATGAGAATGTGTTGCGAGTTAAGTTTGCGGTGCAGGTAGTAGGCTAATGCCGATATATATATCCCATATAGTGAAAACGACATCTATATATTTCTCATTCAATCATTCTGGCCAAAGCTCCCCGTGGAACTGTTCAACCAATCAATGTCAAGTAGGTAGGTAGGATATAGGGAGACGCAGCCCACATGGATGATGACGCAAGTCCCGTCTTGTAGCCTAAAGTCCTTTGCTGCATAGGTGAGTGCAGTGTGAAACCAAACCAAAACTAACCGAATGTATCAAAACATGAACTGCTGAAAGCAGTGGAACAGTAATTTGACGACCAAGCACTGAAAGCGGTTGAAGTGTCAGTTAAATTGCAAACTATTAAAGTTAAAGCAATGGAGACAGTTGAGGTGTCAGGTGGTATTTAGGCCTAAGCATGGACAGCGATTAAAATGTCAGTTGCCATTTATGGAGTAAAGGTTAGCTGAAATGTCAGTCGATAAATAAGATCTGAAAAATTCCTTTAATTGTCTTTAATTTTTATGTCAATTATTGTTTGTTTTTTCTCTCTTTTTGCACTGGAACTGAGCTACCATGCTGTACGAAACCAATTACCACCATCACTGCATGGCATATGCAATAAAGTTAATACATCTCTGGCAATAATAAAGTTTCTATTTATCTATTCTATCTATCTGAAACAAATATACAAAAAACTATTTTCTTTCTTCTTTTTCTACTTTGACTTGTTTCATTTGAGAGCTAGGCCCATAAATCAGCAGTCAAGTTGCAAACTTTAGCTTGTTGCATATCAATCAAAATTGCAGTACAGAAATGCCAAATTAGCTTTAAGGTAGTTTAGAAACTGTACACCATTACGTACATTTTTTTCGACTGTAAAATATGTATCTGAAAAAAAAATCAAATTTAAAAAATCTAAGGCATGCATACATTTTGTATTTAGTCCAATATTCTGCATATTAATACATAATAATAAGTTGTTGCAGCCCTAATTAACTTATTTAGAGAATCTAATATTCGTTTACCCTCAGTGATGTTATTGAGGTGGGTATAATATTAGAAACACCTATCAGCATAATGCAATACAACATAACAGCAGTAAAGTTCTCTCTAAAACAGTTTCTGCACAAACTAAACATTAATACCTTCATGAAGGGGGGATTTATCGCAGGACTGTTGTATTAGACCCAATAACCTGACGACTGCTTTAAAATGGAGTTATAATCCATCTACTACTATTTGGAGAGGACAGATCTTTAAAACGCATCTCAGTTTGCACAATGTTTACAACTAACTGAACATAAAGGCCCTTTCCCACCAGCTGATTGCATTATTAACATTAACAAGCTGGCTGGCATTTGACAGCTGGCAGCTACCTTGTTTTACTCAAGGAGGAGTGAGTGTTTGAATAATTACCTGTAGTCTGACATTAAATATCATCGAAGCAACAAGGTAGATGTAGGGGAATCTGATTCGCAGTCGCCAAGCGAGATCAAAAAATATCAACAAAGTCCTCGTCAAGCCTTTGGAAAACACTCCGTAAGTCCGACCAGCGGAGCCCGAAAATCGGAGCACTAAATAAGACAGACCCGCCATACAAGCGCAGTCTGCCCCCGCGGTTTCTAATGTTACTGCGTCAGCTAGTGAAGCGAACAAACGAGGAAAGTGGTGGCTGATATGTAACAGCTCATGTTTCTATCGCTGACTGACACCGAGCTCCATTGTTACATTGGCTGGTTGTGTTGGCAGAGCTGCTCCACCCCGACAGCGCTACAGATTCCTGCTACGGTCAATGGGAGGACTCATTACGGTGTGACACACACGGAAGTTACTTTTTAGAGGGACATTCCGCCCTGACCTCAGACTCTCAGGCTGATGTTTTTTAAAACTGTAAACCAGATAGTATTGTATGATTTAAATATATAAATATAAAAATAACTACATATAGCAAAATCTAAAATATTATGCTAATAAAATATTTGGAATACCTTCTTTCATACAGTCTGTGGTTATGCTACATGCTTATCAATATATTATATTATGTATATATGAGTTAATTATTGGCAAAAGTGTATGTCTGGAGTCAGTCCATTACTTTTTATGGATGGGGATTTTCCCCATTAATAACTGAAAAAATCATTTGTTTTTTAGACAAATAGTTTTAAAAATGTATTTTGGGTTGCTACAAACAATGATTTTCATTATAGATTAATCTGAGGATGTTTTAAATTATTATTGATCAAGCAATCATTTATGGTCTGTAAAATCACATTAAAGACAGCATCACAATTTCCCAATATCCAAGGTCATGTCTTCCAATATTTAGTTTTATCCCACCGTCCAAAGTATTAAATGAAGAAAACAGAAAAAAGCAGCAAGTGTCGCTTGCAAGTGGACGCTTGGCATTTTTGCATCATAAATGACCAACAATTGACTACTTATTAAAACCTAAGGCAGTTAACTTTCTGTCAATCGACTACTGAATTAATCAGCTAATCGAATATATTTATTTCAACACTAAATATCTTCATCCTGTAGTTTATCATCTCTTTTATCATTGTCGAATAATCAGCATCCATCCAGAATATGTTGTGTATATACAATATAAGATCAAATGGCAAAGAAAATTAAATATTCAGTCTTAATATCCGACTTAATCCAACACAGGTATTACAGGACGTAGTGCAAAAAACGGAAAGGTCATGTATCAACTAACTCAATATATATTATAACCACACAGCAATAACTTATGTCAATTCAATTCTCCACAAAGAGGTACCCAAAAACATCTCCATCAGGCAAGGGTTACATCTGGTATGAGATTTCTGATCAACTTATTTAAGCATTTTCCTGATTATTTTTTCTCTGACAAAAGTACTGCAGCTGAACCTGTTTATGGCAGACGCAACCATGATCCTAAAGTTCTATCATTTCTCAGCTATTTTGTAGCTTCAAATAAAAAAATACACCTTTTTATTAGAATCAGACTTTTATACACATATACATATACATAAGCGCGGCCCGGCAAGCCTTTTGTTTTACCTTGAGAGTCACCTGATTGTCTGTTGGGAACAGTGCACAGCCTGGAAGACAGCGTTCAGGGATACGGCCATTTTTACCAAGCGCTTTCCTCATTCCGTGTCACACTCTGAAAAGTCCGTCTTACTAGTTATTTTCTTTTATCTTATTAAAGTGGCCAAGTTTGAGTGTATTTTCAAAAGACTAATCTCCCGGCACATTTTGTCTGATTACATTCTCTGTATTGAGACGAACAGGTGAATTGCCAGGTGCTTGTTTTGAGGACGTTTCAGCTCGTCAAAGTGTCTGTGGGCGGATGTCAGCCCAGCGCGCCGGAAGCACCAACTGGTTGCGGTGGCTAACTTCATTTTTTTTTTCCCTTAGGGGTGGTGGCCGCTGTTTTGCTTCATAGCTTTCCAGATCGGCCAACGAAAGCATGGGAATGTTGCGAGCGGATTTCTGAGCAAACTTGTTTTAAAGTACTATATAAGTTACTTTAAGTTTCCCAGAAGCTGTTCCACTTCACCGGAGCTCCGCTGCACCCTAAAAGGCCGTCAGCCGACCGCAGTGAGGACGTTTCACCAGCGAGAGATTCCGGACAAAGGAAAAGAGTCTTGTTAGCTAGCGTTAGCTGGCTTCCGGGCTAACTTAGCTTTCCTCTGCGGCGCAATGCAGGCCATAAAGTGTGTCGTTGTCGGAGACGGGTGAGTTAACCCAAACGAGCTGACTGCTAGTGTGTGCCTCCCGCCTGGTGTTTAACTTAAACAAAGCGGTGTCATCAGACCAGCTAACGATGAAGCCTTTTGCTTCTGATTTCTCATAACGGGTTAGCTAGCAAGCTTTAAGTTTCACTACCTGTTTATGTTCGCCGTTACGTTAACTTGTATGGAGTATTATTGACATGGCAAAAAATAAAATAGCCATTATGGAAGTGGTTGGCTTATCTTTGACTGAAGTTATCCCGGTCACCGTGTTTTCCTCACTCTTGGGTGAGTCAGACTTCACCTATCCCGCTTAACCAGGTCTGGGTTGACTTTGGAAACAGTTCTGAGATTTGAAGAGTTCATTTAGCGCCTTGTTTGTGTCGGTCACTTCGTCTGTGTAACATCAATTCAGTGTTGCGTTATTACACACACGCGTCCTGTTTTGAGCTTTTTAAAAGTTAAAAAGCTGCAACACTGGTTGGCTAAAACTGACTTTCAGATGTGTAACAATATGTGGGAGGAAAAGACACTGTAGTAGGGTGTGGTGGATACCACAGCAGCAGAGTCACTGATGGACCTATGACTGTGTTTGGTTTATTATTTATGGGAAACCTTGAAGTAGTGTAGGGTTCATACTGAAGGATACAACGCTTAAGTTTTAATTTTGCACCTCCTCCAGTGATCCTGTGTGCATGTCTTACAAAAACAAAATCTGCTTTTGAAGGCTGTGTGAACATTTACTGATTTCTGAGTGTTTCTATGGTTTTGCACAAGAGATTGGCCAAATGCTTAATTGAGAAAATAATTGACAGATAAATCAACAATGAAAATGACTGTTGCCCTTGTTGTGAGGTTACTACATTAGACCCAAGCACAGTCGTACAAAATAGAAAGTCTTGTCCATTTGTGGTGTGATGAGACTCTTAGCTGATGAGACACGATATTGGGTTCACAAGAATGAGACGAGATTTACTATATTTTTAAGAAATCTTCAGAGCCAAATTATATGAACATTTTGAGCATTAAACACTTCATTTCCTGCATTCTGTTTATTCTGTCTGCATCAGTTATGCTGGAAATGTTTATATTCTTGTAAAACACTAAATTCAGGTGGCAGGCGACAATTCATATATAATATACTGTTATATAAAAATATAACAGTAAGGCTCTCAGGCATTCTGTGTTGCTTTCAGATTTGTTTTCTCCTGTAGATCAACTTCTCTCATGTAATATCATTCCTGCTGAATCAGCGCACATGTAGGCGAGATTTAGTCCACCCCCCCTCTTTTGTGTCTTTTGTTTGGGGAAGTAACCTCTTAATTAATTAATTATAATTCCATTATTAACTCCTGGATTTTAGTAGCGCCTGTGTTTCAGCAGGTTTTCTGCTCATGTTCAAAACATCCTGCACATTCAGAATCTCTCCCATATACCTGTGCTCTCTGACATGTCAAGAAAAAAGTCGTAATATTATGAGACTAACGTCATCATTTAATGAGAATTCATAATGTTTTTTAAAAGTCTACCTGCACTATACTCAGCTGTGCATTACGTTATTGCTCTGCGGTTGTGGTAGTATCCCCTTCGACCGTCTGACAGACACAGATCCCCATTTGGTACTGTATATTGGAATGAGCTAAGGAGGTGGAAACTAACTGAGAACACTTCTGATCAGGCAGAAATGTCACCACAAACTATGCGTGGGTGATTTTCTCTATTTTCATATGGTCTAATCATGGCTACTTGAGATATCCGATTGGCGATCTGATCACCAGGGTGTTACATTGCAGCATGCCAGTGAAATGCCAGTAAGGAAGAAATAGGCTTATTAGCTTTAAGAGAAACGAGCAGAAACATCTGTAAATGCACAGTGCATTTTTCCCACGGAATTAATGTGTAACTGTGGTGCCACACGCGCGCGAGGGGGGTGTGCAATTGATATTGACTACCAGCTATGTACAGCGTGCTAACCTTGACAACCCAGCTGTATTCTAATGTTAACATAGCTATCCTTATTAGCTAGGCTCCTTACATGCTTGCTTATAACTTATTTGAAGGTGGGTCTCCGACATTGACAGCATTGTGTTAAGTAAATAGATAGACTAACATGACAGAGTTAACCTGGACGTATTACACCGGTTCCATTTCAATGTGTTTAAGAGAGGAGAGGAGCAAATCTATACACGGTGATTTTTAATACAAGTGGCGGTCAGCGTTGATATTGTGGCGTGTCGTGGCGCCACAAATAAATCCATGAATGGGAAACACTGCAGTGTGGTGCAGATTCTAGAGACTGTTTATGTCCTCTTAGTTCTGATAGTGAGTTAGTTAAAATGGCCTTAATATTGGCGCATGAAAAACCAATCGCTGACCATCCCTTCAATCGTCGATAGCCGATACAATTGCCAACCACCAACCCACACAAATGTTAAAAATTGATGTGTGGTGTGATTGCATGTGAAAAGTGTCAATTGTGAGTCTCGTGAAACAGGTTTTCCCCTGTGACGTTTTAATGTAGTCACACCCCTAATATACAGTCATGCTGAAAATGCACAGTGGCTTCTTTTTGTGTGCCTGTTGGGGGTTTTTTTGTTTGTTTTTTTGTTTGTTTTTTTTGTGGGGGGTGAAACCATAAACACATTTCCTCTCCTTCTCCCTTCCAGAGCTGTGGGTAAGACCTGCCTGCTCATCAGCTACACCACCAATGCGTTTCCTGGAGAGTACATCCCCACCGTGTGAGTATGTGTGTCTGCAGTCCACTGTGACTTAGGCATTTATTTATGTAAGACTATCAACACTACAACACACACTGGAAGTCTTATCAACACTAGCAGTCCATCATTTATCTCCACCCTTGTTTCCTATACAGTCACTGCATAATTAAGCTGGCATCTTACTCTTCATTTGCTTTCCTTCCTTCCTAAAAAGTTTACAGGTTATCCTGTTGTTACTCTAACGAAGTTAAATATTATTATAAATATTAAATATTCTTTTGGGGGGAAATGTTACGGGAACCTGCACCCTATCTGATTCTAGGCCAGCTATGTAAACTATGTTGATCTGTATCACTGTCTGTGTGGC